AATCAGGCTCCAAATCTGTACTCCTTTCCCTTGAACTTCCTCAACCACCCTCAAGATCATGTTCTGCTTTATAATACAGGTGCTGTATACACACACACACACACACACACACACACACACACACACACACGTGTATATATATATATATGGTAAAATAAAAATAACACAAAAATAGTAATTATGATAATTCTTAAGCCCTGCAATACCTGATTTATTCTAAAAAGCATGTCTTTCACGTCACGTCCATTGATATAATTATTTTCACAATGAGTAGAGAAGCAAGTTATTAAAACCACAGTTTAATTGTATGCAGATGTGCAAATAAAATCATCCATTTTATAGATGAGAAAACATTTCAACAAGTTAAGAGAATCATCAAAGTCACATAGAAGCAAAGCTAGAACCTGAAACCTACACCCTAAATGTTGTTTTTATTCCCTTATTGTACAATCCTTTTCATCTTACCTTTTGAAATGTTGGCATAGAGGATCCTTAATCTCTTAGAAATATACTTTATAATGATAGACAGACTGAGCTAGAAATATGAAATTCAACTAACCTGCAGGCGAGATTATGTATTTTAGGATGAACGCATATACTTATATTTGAATTTCTCAAATGCCCATATGTTAGGGCATCCACTAGAGAGACACAGGACATGATTCTATTGGGAAAACCACCATTTAATTGTAGGTAGAAGTGGAAATAAAATCACCATCCTTTTAATGGATGAGAAAACAGTCCAAGAGGTTACTTTCTTATCTGTAAAATGGCCAATATTGCCTAGCATAGGATCCTTGTGAAGATTAACTGCAGTAGCACATGGTGAGTGCTTCACAGCACACCTAGCATGCAGTAAGCTCTATTATTCAAAGTAAATCGCTTGCAGTCAGCAGGCATGTCACACTGCTTGTTTTTTAATTAAACTGGACTCCAAATATGTTTTCCCTATTTCTCAAATATAAACTTTAAAAAATTTAACCAAGAGTACCTTGGTTTAATATTTGGTTTTACTTTTTAATCTGTGAAAGGTTGCCAACCATACTTTGCAAATATAGGAAATTACAGAACTTAAAATTCTTCCTCAGTGATCTTTTCCATGCTACATTTGAACTTATTAGGTTTTTTAAATGGAAATTAAAGGGATAGGGAAAATATTAGACTTATATTTTAACATGGAAGGAATAGATCAATTCACAAAGCCAGAGCAAAGACACATTATGAGAGAAAAGAAGTAAAATTAAATAAAAATTTCAGGCCAGAAATAAAAGAACTTGGAAACAGAATCAACCATTATAAAATGTGCTACTGTTCATCAAGAATGACTCCTGTAAGCATGCTATTATGCTTAACCCAGAAGAAATTTTAAAAATTCAAAGTGGCCAAGGATAAGTCTCTTCCTGGCTGTGACCTCCTCAGGTTATGTCACTGATCTGGATCTCGGTGCCCACTACTAATAAGAGCGGATGGAGGAGGTGTTGAATAGATCATTCTAAACTCCTCCGGGTTCTCTATGCAAAGATTGGATGGAACTGGGCAGCTGCTCTTCCGTATTAGGGAGCAGAGTTTAGTGGGATTGGCTGCTGCTGACCAGACATTCACACAGCCATTTCCACTAGCTGCGGACTCTGTCCGAAACAACTTTAGCCTCTAAATGGTTCAATCATTAACAGACCTTCCCCTGATTTATGAAATAAGTCTCCTGTAGGTTCCATGTAAATATCCAACAATGTGTTAACAGTTTGTCTTGTAATTTTTTAAAAAAATTTAATTGTAGGTGGGGGCCATCGGGAGAAAACAAACAAACAAACAAAAACCCCTACACATTTCTTTTCAAAAGATGGCAATGCGGAGCAAAACAGGAGGAAGGCGGGGCGGAAAGAGTTCTGGGACGCCCGCAGTTGCAGGAAAAGGAACTGCTGGGCTGTGGGCAGGGGCACGGAGCACTCCCGCGCGCGGCCGCAGGAACCCCCAAGCCCAGGCCCAGCTGCGGGGAAGATCGAGTGGTTGGCGGGCAGGGGGCGCGGGGGCAGGGCCAATGGGCATCCTGCAGTGCGGAGATGAAATGCAAATCCTGTTAGAAACCAGGTCTGAGCGCTCAGGACAGGCATGTAAAACTCCCCAAGTGATTTATGCATGAGGAACTCGCAGTCCCTGGAAAGAAATAACTTCGGCCAGAAGCTCCTTATTCTCTGGTTTTTCGGGAGGACAGTGCGCAGGCAGGAGCGCAGCCAGAATCAAGCTCGGTTCCATTTGGACCAGCGGCGGGGAGGTGCACGGTCTAAACAACTAAAGGGACTTTTTAAAACCACTTACCTAAAGTGGGGAATCAAACTCTGCTAAGGCTCCTATACATTCCATAGGAAAATGGCGAGCCTGGCCGTCTTCAATATTTGCTGGTTCCTCCTCGCCCGCCCGCCTCTCCCTCTTCTCCCTCCTCTCCCCTCTCTCCCCGCCCACGAGAGGGAGAACGAGACTCTCCCGAATTCGGAACGACGAGGAAGTGTGGACCTTCTCGGCACCCCTCGCTTCAATATGGCTGCCCCCAGGGAAAAGCGAGGGCTGATATGAAAGTACTGATCCTAAATCCCTCCTCGCATGGATCGTAGCGCAGAGTTCAGGAGATGGAAGGCGCAGTGTTTGAACAAAGCGGATCTCAGCCGGAAGGGCAGTGTGGACGAGGATGTGGTTGAGCTTGTGCAACTCCTGAATGAGCGAGAACAGTTTTTCACTACCAGTTCCTGCGCTGGCCGCATCGTCCTCCTAGATGGGGTAAGCCTCCTTTGTGCCTGTCCAGCGCCTGCCTTGTATGCAACACCAGGAGCCCTGTGCCCACCCAGTGCGAAACCCCAAACCAGTCTTTTTGTGTTTCTTCTTCTGGTGGGTGGTCTCGGTTTCCATATGAAACTTAGAGGGTAAATTAGACCAGTGATTCTAAAACTTTAATGCATTAATCACCAGATCTTTCAAAATACAGATTCTGATTCTGTAGGCCTAGCGTGAGGCCTCATATTCTCCATTTCTAACAAGCCCCAAAGTGATGCCGAAACTGCTGGCCTGGTAATGAACTTGAGTTGCGAGAACTAAAGAATTTGATTTTGTAAATACTAAGGGAATTTAAAGAACTTTCCAGCCTGGCGAAGTTGGTGGCTTCTCTTCAACAGATCTACCTAATCATAGTAACTACCTGACTGAACGTCGCCAGGGGTAAGGTGTTCACTGCCTCCTAGCGGCCCACTCCAGTTTTAGAGCTTTGGTAATTTTTACGTTACGCGAAGTACAACACTGTAGTTTATGGTGTGAAATAGTGGCCAAGCCCTCAGGCTTTGGAATGATACGGCTTAGATTCTAAACCAATTATAGGAATTATTGACTATGCGATTTTAGGAAGGTTATCGAAATTCATTCCCTTTCTGTTCCATGAACTAAGAAAAATAAAGAGTATCTACTTCACAGGTATTTTGTGTAGAGGAAATGGGATCATTTATTTGAAATATTTAGTGTCGTGCTTGGCCCATATTAAGAGCACCGTAAAAGTTAGCTGTCTGTTAATTTTAGCATTAGTATTGAATTCAGAGCATGAAAGACAGCACACTCATAAGCTTATTCTTTAGATCTCTCACCAATCATTTGCTGGTCTTCCAGGTTAGCAGAGCCTGTTCATCTTTAAATTGCTTCCATTGCCTCCTTAGCACGAGCACTCTAGCTGGCCTTGCTCTTTCTCTTCTCCCATTTCTACTGCTATCTTACCTGGATTTCTGCAGTGGTTTCCTAACAGGTCCCTGAACTACCAGTCTCTCTCCCCATAACCATGTTACACACCCTTAACAGATTCACCTTTCTAAAGCACAACTCTATGTTCATGAGAATTGATATCCTTACTGGCCTCATCTATGCTGAAATCTATTTTTGTACATTTTTCAACATCAGTAAATCCAAACCCCAACTTTAGTATACCGTTCAACCCTATTTTCTGCTCCTTCTGTTTATCTTTATTTACTGAAACTGAACTGTTCTCTTTTTCATCTTATATTTTTTACCTGTCTTTGCCTTTGCTCATGTTTATTTTTCTTGAAATGTTTCTCCCATCTCTGCATATCTAAGACATGACTCTCAAAACTCCCGTCTCCCACCTGAACACAAACGTATACTTAGAAACAATGACTGCTTCTTCCAAACTGCCTTAGGACTTTTTCTGAGCCTCTTTACATTTTATGTATTATCTTATACCTTGTATTTATTTTCACTTTGCCTTATTTCAGGAAGGATTTGAATCAACATAAAAAGGCAATGCAAGAAGAAAAAAGTGGGAAAATCCGGATAAAGAGTATAGATAGATGAATCCAGTAATGATATCAGTTCCCAAAACATAACACATGATTCTGTACATTTGCTAGAGATGGACCACACTTTTGGCTCTACGATTTAGAGGAGCCCTAATAAGATCAGATACATAGTCACTGAAGTCACTGAGTGAAAACAAACTAGTTATTTAAGATAAGCACAGCTCTTCCCATTTTCAAGGCTAGACAGACAGCAAAGTGTACCCTTTGTATAAATAATTACTTTGTAGAAATATAGTGATTTAAAAGTACACATGGTTTCCTCCATCCTCTTTCCAATGTCCGTGAGGGTAGGATCTGTTTATACCCAAAGTACCTAATAGAATTTTGCAAATAAACATTTTTTTTCGGTTAATAAACAAAAACTCGGATATTAAAATATTTGCCTTCTTAAAACTTTGACCTTTTAGTCCTAGCTCTGCCCTTTGGGACTACATATAAAGTCTAATGAAGAGGTCTCAAACTTATGCCTGTAGAAACTAGGGATATTATGAGGGTATGAACAGCTCAGATATCAGCAAAAGTGGTAGGTCCTGTATTAGATGGTGACAACAGTGCTTTCGTACAAAAATAATTCGTAATCTTTGTTTTATTGTTTTAAATATTGTGCTAGCCAAATAAAACAGCTAGAGTACAACTCAGGGCCTACTTGTATAAAACCCCTTGTAATAATCCCTTTTCTCCTAATAAAATCATGACCATATTTTAGGAACTATTTATTAAGTTCTTTTACCTTAGTAAACAAATATTTTTTTTTCTATTTCAAGTAATTTGGTTTCATTTTTCTTTTGGGGTAACTAAGCCCAAAAGCCTATTGTAGTGTTCTCAATAATACTTAAAATCACTACTTGGGACTATTAATTCAAGAAAGCCTACAATATGTTATATGTGGTAGTTATTTTTATAAATATATGATTAGATTAAATCATGTTATTTTTTTATTTTAGGGTATAAATGGTTTTGAGGTTCAGAAACAAAACTGTCACTGGCTACTGGTTACACACAGACCTTGTGTAAAAGATGATCTGGTAAGTTTTTATATGAAAATTTAGAAATAAACTTTTTAATTTACAGTCACTTTAAATACATATGAAAAGAATAGAATATTCAAGGTGATTTTTGTGCATAGTCAGAATGACTGAGGATTACAAAGCCTAAAAAGAATTCATTACAATGGTTTTTTTGAGTTGTAGGAGATAAAAGCGCAAATATGTGTGTAAGCATTACTTATGGCTGCTCAAAAAAACATAGGACATAGGATGGATATTGGACACGTTAGATCCAGACTTTGAATTTTAATTCTGCCATTTGATAACTCTGTAACCTGGAACAGATTATAGGGGGAGAAGGGAGCTGAGAAAAAAGGATTAGAACTATCTATGTATTACCAGCATAATGATATAAATAAATTATACATTATTTACCAGTATTGCTTCTTAAAACTTTTTTGGTCTATGCTAATGTATTCAGTTTCCTCAATTAAAATGTTTAGATGAGTTTATATAAGTTTGTATTAGTCGAGCACTTTACATTGCTGATTCAGGTGCTCAAATGTTGTCTTCAGAGTGCTCCCTCGGTCTCCATCCCCTTTCTATCTGTCCTGGTTCTCTCTGTGTATCTGCCTTTATTCTCTTCTGCTGCAGATGACCTTTGTGGCAGGAGAGATAGCTGCCAGCAACCCCAGCAAAATAAACCTTTTTCCTAGGATCCATGTATCATTCCCAGAGAAGGACTCTACGTTATCCTGCTTAGGTTAGGTGTTCTCCCCCTGAGATCAGTTATTTTTGCCAGTAGGAGGGAATGCTTGATCAGCCTAGGCACTTGGCATCTCTGCTATTATAATCGTGGGAGTGATGAGTGACAGGGTCATGATTGGCAATCCTACCAGAATCAAATGGCGTGAAGGAGGGAGGATGCTGTCCCCCAGGGATAGTAGGCAATCAGAAATAGCAACTGCCTTATATAAATTCTAACTCAGACATAATTTTACATATGTCTTGAACTTCAATCTGACAACAAAATGTTTAAACAGACCATTCTAGTACAGTCTTTACATACCATATTCCTTAAGGAAAAATCTATTATGGAATTAAATACAGTAGTACTTTACTTTTTTAAGATAAGATTGGAAAGAATGACACAAAAGGTATATGGGAGAATTAGAAATTGGATCTTTTATTAAAAAAAAGGATTAATAATTTTTTGGAGAAAAAGGACTAAGAAAACAGACTAAAAAGTTACTGTGGAAAAAAGATGCTAAATGAATCTGAAAGTTTCTGGGGAAAACTGAAGTTAACATATGATAAAGGGTCACAGAAGAACAGGATCATATGTTTGTATCTGATGCTAACATTTTTCAGTTATTTAGATTGTGGCTCTGAATAAAGCCAACGGTGATGCCGTTTTGAAATTTGAACCACTTATTCTTCATGTGCAGTGTCAACAGCTGCAGGATGCACAGATACTGGTAAAACTTTGACATTATACTTGAAATTATAGGTATGTGGGTAGATATAACTTTAAGTCTTAAAACTCCTACCAAAAATTATATTTAATTATAGATTTGGGGTTACATGTTTCTGCATTTTGTAGAGCTAAACAGTTTATCTGACTCAGATTATCAGAATTTAACGAATTTATTTTCTTACAGCATTCAGTGGCAGTAGAATCTGGTTTCAGGAACTCTGGCATAACAGTGGGAAAGAGAGGAAAGACTATGTTGGTAAGATACCTTTTGGCCAAAAGCAATCCTTTGAAAATGAAGTGATCCAGATTATTGAATAACCTTCTAATTAGACTTCTACTTTTAGACTCTCCTTACTCAAACTTGCCATTTCTTTGCTCAAAAGCCTTCAGTGACATTCTTTTCTATAGGGCAAAGTTCAGAGTTGTTAGATATACATTTGGTGTGTTATTTTATTGTGCTATAGTCTCCTCCACTTAATTTTAACCTGATCCTCTACGCTCTCCTCATCCTAAATAGTTCCAATGTCATGAGCACCATGATGTAGTGGAAGGAATCACAAATAGGGAGTCTGAAGTCCTATATACCACAGCTATTCAGTATGAACTTGGGCAAGCTCCTTAATCTCTAAGGGTCTGAATTGGCTCAGCCATATCAAGGTTCCAGCAAACTACTGCCCTAGGGCCAAGTCCAGCCCACAAGAGGTTCAGATCATACTACACCCATTTGATTAATTACTGTCTAAGGTTGCTTTTGTGTTACAGTGATAAAATTGAGTAGCTATGACACATATTGTATGATCCACAAAGTCGAAAATATTTACTACCTATCCTTTCACAGGAAAAGTTTGCTGACCACTGAACTGAATGATCTTTAAGGCCCCTTATAAGTCCCACATCCTCTCTGAGTCCTTCCCTAACCAAGCCAACCCCTAGTGATTTTGCCCTGTTCTTATCTTCTGTAGTATTTACTGTTTGTATTAACCGTTTGGCATGGCATGTATTGTTTGCGTTTGAACTAATTTCAGATTATCCATTCTGGCTCCCTAGACTTTTCTATTTCCTATCTATTTTTAACAAATAGCCTGTTTCTCAAATAGAAGTATCTTATAAAGAAGACGCCTATAAAGCATAACTAAATAGAAAATCAAAGCCCACAGTACTAGTTTGTGTCACCAGCTCATTCTTCACTGCATCTGGTTGGCCCAAGCAAGAACAGAGCCATTCTTTCACCTTCCTCACCTTTGTTTTTCATATCCAGTTAGTACACGTCCTATCACATCTCTGATTTCTCACACCTGATGCTGTCTCTCTAAGACCTCTGTCACTGCCCGTGCTTAAGCCCTCATTGTCCTTCACCTTAGTCTTTACAGTGGTCTCCTGACTGGTCTTCCTGCCATCCATCTTCTCTTTCAGTCCTTCCAACCAATTCTGTCAGAATCCCCCTTTTGATAAAGTCAGGGTCTCCAAGTATTTTTTCTGATATTCAAGGCCTTACCCAACTATTTTCCATCTACCTTATTTTTACTCATATCCTGCTAGTATACTTACAGTCTAGCCAGATAGAAAACTTGTTTGTTTCCCAAATATGTCTTTCATGTCTTTCATCTCTCCATACTAATAGATAAGTTATTCCTCTGGTAGGAATGCCTCCCTTCGCCCATTTTTATATCTGGTGAAATTGCACTTATCCTTTAAAATCCTAACATAAATGCCACCTTTTTCATAAAGCTGATGCCTCAGTCTCAATTCTACATTTCATTTACTTTTTGTGTGTGTATGTGCATGTGCGTGCATACATGTACATGTATGAGTATGTGTTTCTCCTGTCATAGCACCTATGGTTGTATTATAATTCTTTGTTCACTTGTTTATTTCCTCTTCTAAAGTTTAAGCTCTTAAAGGGCAGGGACTATGTTATATTCATTCTGTATCCTCACACCTTACATGGAGCCTAGAACATTGCAGATGCTCAATAAAGTTTCATGGAATGAATTTTTTAATCCTCATAATAGTTTTTGTTGTTGTTCTTATTCTATATTCAGTGTTTGGATATGCTTGTAACTTGTTGACTGTTCATCAACAGGGTTACTAAGATTGGCCTTAAAGCATTGTGAGACAGAACAGGCATGGTTTATTCTTATAACCACACTCTACTTAAGCAGCACTAAGAGGCTCTTCCGCATCCAGTCCATTTTGATTTTTTCTTGAAGCTCCTGTTGAGATTTCATTTATTTCTTTTCTTTAAATAGTGCGTTAAAGCTTTCTAAGCTTTAGTGAGATTGAAACTGTTAGTTATTGGATTCTCTGATATTATCTGCTTCTCTGAAAGACAGTATATAAAATGACTTTAGAAATGACTTTATGTGATGGGAAAAATCTCCTTTAATCTCCTTTAATTCAATTGTGTTTAGCTAAATTATATCAAAGCACAAACTTAAATGCTGTAATGGAACTGAACTACATTTAAAGACAACCCTGAGTAGGACTTTTCTTCATTTATCCTCAATGTCTATAGTACATAAGTCATCATATCTAAATTGATTGTTCTTTGTAGGCTGTCCGGAGCACACATGGCTTGGAAGTTCCATTAAGCCATATGGGAAAACTGATGGTGACAGAGGAATATATCGACTTCCTGTTAAAGATAGCAAATCAAAAACTGGAGGAAAACAAGAGGAGGATTGAAAGGTATATTAATTGGATATTTCCATGTTATTATATGCTTAGATAGATCATCTTTAAAAATACTAATATACACTATCTTCAGATTATACTCCCAACTGCTTTTCTATTTGTAGCCTTCTCATGAATAATACAAAGATGATCAAAGTAATAGATGAGCCTAGGCCAGACTGTAATGGGTACTAAATGGAGCATAAGCTCCATGGAGAAGAATGGGCTAAATGCCTACGAGCAATGGGCACAAAGGAAGGAAACATAGTCGCTTAGGTAAGAGAGCCCAACAGCCACTGGGACCAAAACTGATCAAGAGGAAGGCAGCATGGAAGAGATACACACTACCCAATGCATATGATCTACCAGAGATTACCTAAAATCTCCTTTTAAGAACAGACCAGTTAATTTTAGTCTGATACATATTTTACACCTCTGGCAAGTTCAGTACCTCGCTCTTATCATGGATTAGATCTAGAATTGTCCTAGTAAGAAGGATTTTGGCTATCAGATTATATCTTTATACTTCTCTTGTTCTTAAACTTCACCTCCTGGTAAATAAAACCCCTTACATTGATTTCTTTTTTCTACATTTTTCTAAGAATAGTTTTTAGTATAAAAAAGTGACGATCATGTTGCCTTTTTTATATGAAGATAATGCCACTGACTTACTATCAACAAGATGTACATTTCTGAGTTATTCAAGTGGTGATGGCAAACTTGATATTTATAATTTCCTTTTTCCCTTCTCTCCACCCTCCTTGGCAACCAGTCAGTCTCTGCCTAAGTAACTCTTGAATTATTTTTCTTTCTCCCTCCTTACTGCCACTTTCTTCTTTCAATACCATTGCAAGATTAACTCATCTCATAGTAGAATTCTTCTGGTGTGTCTCTCTTCTAAATCATTCTCTATATCAGGATAAAGCCGTTAAATGCATAGGAATCTTTGACTTGCCTGCTTAAAATTCTTTAGTATTTTTTTAAAGCAGCTAAAGCCAAAGTACCAATGGTAGCAGTGTTGCATGATGGAAATAGATATAACTAGGCTCCAGAGACAGAACCAAGGTGGAATCTCAACAGGAGCTTCTATCCCAAGTCAACTCTCTTGGCTTCATTTTCCTTATATCTGACTTGGGAGAAATAGTCCTTAAGAACAATTATAGTATACATTCGATAGCATGTGTATAATGATTGGCTCTGTCCCTGTCATATCATGGATTCCCAGTATAGGATAGCCCTTCTCCTTCAGGGATGCATGTAGAGAACAAAACAATCATCACATCAGTACCGTCATCCAGGCTTTCTCAGCCAGAGCTCCTCATTTGAACCACAGAATTCACAAAATTATTTTAGTGACTCTTTCTAAGTTCTCCCAACAATGGCAAATAACTTTTACCATTCTAGATACATTGGAGAGAAGTTAACTCATTATATACAATGGATGTCTTAGGGCATTAGGGCTTAATTTTCTAGTGGAACTCTGGTTGAAAAAAGCAGAGAGATTACCTGGCCACAAAGTGCTTTGAGCAAATATTCTAAATAAAGCGATGATTTTAAGTGAGCAACTGGAGAGCAGCACCCAGCCACTCCACCAGACTAGAGTTTGAACTATAGGCAGGTACTTATTGGTACTGTTCCAAAAGTTTACTACATTTGTTAGTATTCAGTGAGGCTGTTTGCTAAACTGTAGGAAGTAGCAAATCAGTTTTTCTGTTTCCTTACTTGAATTTCAACAAGATTATAAATATAGCCCAACATCAACTAACTGTACACCTGGTGAAGTTAATTGAGCCACGTTCACCAACTATAAAATCAAATTATGCTTTAAATCCATTGACTCAAAAATATGTTTTGAGATTATAGTGTGCATGCTGCTATCAAGATAGCCATGCTCATCATATAAAATCAGTGAAAAATTAAAGAAGGGTAAAAACTGTCTTAAGATACTGATTAGAAGATTACATGTGAATTCAGAAAGGGCGAACAAATTAGAAGCTCCTTTGGGAACAGCTGTACATCCAACCAAATGCAGAGAAAGAGTTACTCTTCTGATGTTGAAAAGAGAAAAAATAATAAATCCTGGAGGTGATGAGTTCTGCAATCAGACATCAAGTACTAAAACTGGTTTTGTCATAGGACCAAATTTTCACAATTAAAATAGCTGTAATAAGAGAATTTTTAAAAGTCAGAATCCAAATGAGTAACATTTCAGCAACAAAAGATTTTCTGCAAATGTGAAAAATCAAAGTTAAAAGTAAAATATTTTCGATAGTAAAAAGGTTCCCAAGCCCACTTCTTAGTGGGAAGAGTAAGATAATTTCATACATAATGATCTCCAGATGAAAAATATAAAGTTTGGAGATCTACCTACCAATTGCAAGAGGAAGATTATCTTTGTATCTATTAATAAGATAGATTTATCTTGGGTCAGATGAAACCACCATTTGGCTATGAGTAGAATGAAAGTAGCCATGTTCCTCTGTTCACCAGCTATAAAATAAGAAAATAAATGTTTTGAATAAAGTATAGAATGAAAGGGCTGAAAATATTGGCATATAATATTGTTGATAAAAATAAAGCAAATAGGAAAGGAAAAGTAAATGACTCCAATGGTTGGGTGTTTTTTGTATTTGTTGTCTTTTTACTTTTCTTTTTTGTGGTTAAATACACATAACATAAAATTTACCATTTTAACCATTTTTAAGTGTACAGTTCAGTGGCATTAAGCACATCACATGGTTATGTAACCACCACGATCACCACTGTCCATCTCCAAAACATTTTCTACACCCAAATTTGTGTCTGTTTTGTGTCTGGCTTATTTCACTTAGCATAATATCTTCAAGGTTCATCCATGTTGTAGCATGTATCAGAATTTCATTTTAAAGCTGAATGATAAATAATCCATTGTACTTATATACCACATTTTGTTTAGCCATTCATCTGTCAATGGCTGTTTGGGGTTCCCCCGCCCCCGCCACCTTTTAGCTATTGTGAATCGTGATGCTATGAACACGGGTGTGCAAATATCCATTTGCATCCCTGCTTTCAATTCTTTTGGTGTATACCCAGAAGTGGAATTGCTGGATCACCCGGTAATTTTGTGTTTAACTCTTTTTAGAACCGCTTTACTGTTTTCCACATGAGCAGTACCATTTTACATTCTCACTAGCAAGGCGTAAGGGTTCTCTTTCCTCAACATCCTTGCCAACACTTGTCCTATTTCTGTGTGTGTGTGTGTGTGTTACTAATTGCCATCCTGACACATGAGGTGATATCTTGGTTTTGATTTGCATTTCCCTGATGATTAGTGACACTGAGCATATTTTTTCATATACCTGTTGATAAGAATTTCTGTTATATCACTGCTGCTTTCCTGCCTGCTTATGGTGCTTTTTCTTAACGTCCTTTGAATTTCTCTTATTATTCTTCCTATTGGTTAAATATTGTTGTTCTCCAGGATTCTGTTCTTGGCCCAAAGCTTCACTACTTCTCCATGTACAGATAGGTCTTCCACATCTCTCCTAAGTTGTGCGTCCATATATCCAATAACTTATTGAATATATTTAACTAAAATATTCCATCAGTCTTTCCTTAATGTCTGTCTTACGCTAGTCTCAACCCCATAGCCATTTCTTTGGTTCAGATTCTTATCATTTACCAGTATCATTATAGTTTATGCCTCAGTGTAAAACAGAAATGTTACTCATATTGACTTGTAATTATTTAATTGCATGTATATCTTTTTTTCCCCACTACAATAGGGTCACATTGAAAATAGGACTAACTTCTCCCCTCCACCAAGCACACAGACACACACACACACACAGACACACACACACACACACAAATATCTCTTACTCCAAATCTTATCCTAAAACCTTATATAGTGTCTGGCTCATAGTAGAAACCCAATAAGTGTTTATTAAATTAATCATAAACAATAAAAGAACTTAAAAGTTAACACATTATTATATTGAGTTATCCAAAGGCAATGACAGTTTCTTATTCATCCTTATTTTCTGAGTGTCTGGCACAAGAATAGTGGTTAATAAATGCTAAATTTAGTTAACTGACTTTTTCCATCAGAGTCCTACTTTTAAGGCTTACAAGATTACTCTAGAAGACATGTAAGATTATCTAGAGGTGGGGTAAACAAGAGTAGGCTTTTGCTACATAGTGCAGGCAAGTAGTAACATGACAGTGAGTAACAAAATGAATGGGAGTGATACTGCAGAATATTAGCCGAACAAGGCAACAGATTTGATAGAGGGTAGAAGAGAAGGAGGAATCAAGGATAACAGATGTCTTAGACTCCCGGTAGTTTCTAGTCTTATTTTTTAAAATGAAACTAAAGCAGGTTAATAAATAACTCGCACAATTTCCTATATACTTAAGATCAAAAAGGTAAATAATATAAAGTAAAAATACATACTTTATTTTCTGATAGTTCCTCCTTGGTTATCCGCTCCCCTCATTTTTTTTCCTTTCATAATTTCCATCCCATAACCTAACCAGCTTCCCATTCATCCTTGCAATTCAGCCTAGGTTTTGGGTTTGTTTCCAAGGAGCTTTTCATGACCTCACTTGGAACAAAGTGCCCCCAGTGTGTTCCTGCTTTCTTGACTCTTTCGTGATGTGTTTGCATGTGTCTGCAGCGCTAGAGCTTAATCAGTTAGAATTCAAATGCATAATATATGAGAATAGTTTTGTTACTTGTGAATAATGGAAGCCTAAAAGGGTATGAAATTGTGCTTATATTTCATTAATTTTATGTTCCTATTTTAGAAGTCCAAGAAATAATCAACTTTTTCTTGCAGTTATAGGACCAAGGGTCAGTGGTCCTATAACTGACCTGAAAGCAAGAGTTCATTTTTCTAGCACTGGCCTGGAAAGTATTCTCAAGACGAGAGCTAAGTACACGTTGTCCTATGACTTGATAATTTTTACTGCAGAGGTGGAAAAACTGAATTTGATTTTCTTTTGAGGGGAGAAAAGTAACAGTTGCCTGAGCATAGATTTCTTTTTATACCTCAAGCTCTTTTTGTTGCCTGTGAGAGCTGAGGAACTTACACTTTGAGAATTGGGCTTTAGTATGCTGTGTAAAGGGCCATAGTATGAGGGGAGAACATGTAATTGGAAAACAAATATCTAAATGAGTAAGATAATTTCCCAAAGGACTTTTTAAAAGTTCTCTTAATAAAAGAGAATGAAAAAGTATTTGAAGTTTTTATTCTTTGGCTTTCAGCACAAAAGAGTCTTTGTTCCATTTTACCAATTGTTTTTTTGGTACCCCAAGGATATAGCTTTGAATCCTTAGGTTCTTTAATAAGAAATTAAAATAAAGCACCTGTTCCTCTGTAATTACCTTTGTTTATGTGATTGACAAGATATATTTAAACAAGCTGTTAATTCTCTATGATCATAAAAGAGCAATTTTATCTTTAATTTTCTAGGAATAGAATATAATCCAGAAGAAAAAAAAAAAAAAAGACTTGGTTACCTGAGTCTAAAGTGCAGGGTTGGGTGGAAAATGATAGAAGGAGAAGTTGCATATCATGGAAAACCTCTTATGATCAGCTAAGGGCAATTCATTTTGTGGCATACTTGGATTTATGTTTTAGATAAAGTGAGCCATTCTCTTAGGTCACTTTATTAAGCCATTCTAAATAGGCAGTGTGGAAGATAAGAAGAAAACCAGTCATTAAAGGATGACAGCAAGACCTGGAGAGAAAGATCAAGCCAAGTATAAAAGTTTTCATGAATGTTAGGGACTGAACAGAATATTGGTAGATGACATGAGTGGCAGATGAAGGAGTTTATTCTTGCGAAGTCTTGGTGAGCCCATTGAATTCTGACCTCATCTCTCAACTCTATGGTAGGCAGGATATGAAAGGATAAACAGTCTCCATTTGAGGAATGCAGGGCAGATGATGTCTTTGTGGGGAAGCCATGTCTCAGGTAAGTAAGGCTGTATAGGGTGCATTAAATGAAAAGGTTATCACCATGGAACAGGGTCTGAAAAATTATGTCAGTTAATATTTTTCAAAGCCTTTTACTTGTGAGTCTTACAGTTTTCCCTTTTATTGTAATACTCTCTTGGAGATTGATTTATTCATTGAAATATTATCTGTTGAGTACCTATTATATGCCAAGCCTGGTGCAGGATTTATACAGTGGCGAGTACGTATGTTCTTGAAACATGAACAGGATATGTTATAGTCATATTAGGTACGTATTAGAAATGTGTGGAATATTTGGAAATAGGTGTACATTTTGTTTTTTTTAGGGCAGTTTTAGAATCTTTGCAAATAGAACTTAGTCTGCGCTTTGAATTAAAGAAAGAAGAAAATTGGTCTAAATTACGATTTTTTTTGCAGATGTCAAAAATTTCCTGTCATAGTCTTCCATTAAAATAGTATATAAATCATGAATGAGAGCCATGTAATGGCAAAGGAGTTCTCAGCTTCCAGGTCACTCTAATTTGGGACCTAGGATAATAAAAAAAGTTACCTTTTTTGTTCAGTAGTTATTTATTCACTTATTTGGCATATTTTTACCAAGTGTTTCAGCACTGTACTGCATGCTAAGAATATAACAAAACAAGATAGATGGGGGTCTTTGGTTTCATGGAGTGTATAATCTTTAAAAAAGTCATTATAGAGAACTTATTCTGTGCTGGGCACTGCGCTAGGTACTCATATATCACCTCTAACCCTCTGACAACCCTGCTGGGTACAGGATCATACTCAGTTTTATAAATGAAGAAATCTGGATTCAGGAAGGTTGGAATTAGCTAACCCCAGCATTCCCAGTAGAACACTGATGTGAAGTGCATGCAACACACCTTGATACCTTCCAACACATGCCAAAGGCTACTGTGTCAGGAAGACTTGTTAAGTGTTAATGTGAGAGTAGAAAAGAAACAAGGCCCCACTTTCAGGGAGAAAACAGTTAATCATATCACAAAATTAACAATAAAACTCCGGTAGAAAATATGAGTAAAGGAAAAGAACAATTCACATTTTTAAAAATTCAAAATAGCTAATGAAACACATTTAATTTCACTTGCAAAAAAATGGAAATTGAAACAATGAGCTACTGCCGTCACCTATCCAAGTAAAACGTGTTTTTTGATGATAATGTTCAATATATGAATAAAGTGGTCTCAAGTACTGCTACTAGAAGCATATCTTTTGAACATTTATTCTGGAAAACAATATTTCTCAAGAACCTTAAAAGGTTTGTACCTTTTAACCATGTAATTACATTTCCAGGTGTGTATACTAAAGAAATAACTAGAAATTCAAGTCACATTATTTTAAAAAATGTCACATTGTTGTTTGTATTAGTAAAAATTTGAAAATAAATTAAGGCCAGTCTAGATGACAATGTTATACTACCATTAAATGTTATATTGTAGTTCATTTGATGATATGGAAAATGTTTTCAATAAACATTAAATTTGAAAAACCAATGTAAAACTTCATATCTAGTATCACAGTTGTATAAAAGACAGTTGGT